TTTCTACAGTGTCTATAACTGTGTGTGTCTGTATTTCTACAAAGGATATGCAATCTGGAAAAAAGAATAAGAGAAAGTATTCAGGAACATAGTGCGTAACAAGGAAGTCCAGCACATCATTAAAACACATTGACTCTGTGCCTACCTGCATAGATGACTATACCAACAACTGCCTCAGTGTTTCTGATGGTGCATCCTCGCAGCAACAGATTTTCCTTATACAGTCCAGCCTTCTTCCCATTTTCATGAATGCTGTCAAAGGACAGTGGGCAAGAGTCATTGTGTGTATATACATGACTCTCATCTAAGTCATACTGCCTGGGAGGCTTAGGGGCAGGGTGGGGACAGGGAGCTCTAGGATTTGTGACTTGTCTCAGTGGATCTACAACAGAGCTGGGAGGAAGTTGCTGGTGTTTGTCATTAACTGGGAATCTCAGAAGCCTGTTTGTTTACTATGTCCCTGAACATGATCTCCATGCATTTACCACAGCTCTAGGAGAAATGTCACTCTAGCAGAGAACCTAGTGTTGTCACAAAATACAATTTCTCTAGAAAATAGGATGACATTGGTTTGTTTCAGCAACATTCTCTCTAACTCTTTTCCTTATTATAGAGTCATAAAGTTACTAAAACCAAAGTCACTGCCATCGAGTCAGATCTGAGTCATAGCAACCCCTCCTTGGGTTTCCAAGGAAGTATTTCTATGGAAGTAGATTGCACAATCTTCCTTTCGAGGAGTGGCTGATGGGTTTAAACTACTAGCCTTCCGGTTAGCAGTGAAATGCTTTAGGCACTACACCACCAGAGTTCCCATAAAGTTACTAGAAATATTAAATATTTTATTTGAAATGCAGTAACTGTCATGAGGAAGTTTTATGAATTGTTTCATTACTACTCAGATTCTGAAGGATTTCCAAGTCTAAGTCACTGCTTTTCAGACTCATCCCCTTGCCCTACTGGTGATGGCTCTATTCTCAACCATGCTGTCCTAGTACAATCTGCTGTACTAGGACCTTAGGTGAATGAGTTGGGTGTGATCCCAGAAGCCTGGAACACAGCTCAAAGGGAGGTAACCCCAGGCTTTGGGGGAATTGGGAAGACTACAGCTCACAGTGCTGTCTATGGTCTGCCCTTTAGGAAGCCCCTCCTGCACACCTCCTTCCCACATGAATCCACACCCTCCCATGACCCAAATGTCCTTTCTCTGTTCTAAGCAGCTCACTGTTGGCTTTTGCAGATTTTTCTCCAACGATTCCTGCCATTGTGCCCACTGACTCTGAAGCAGAGCTGTTTTGGAGAGGTTCAGTCAGAGGTGGTCACAGGGTTTGTCTGGAAAAGGCACTTCTTGTTCCCTCCAACACCTGTGGCCAAAGTAAATCAGGTCCCTAGTCACCTAGCACAAGGGGGCAATGCTATCTTGAAACTTCAAACACATGCCTATTCTTCACAGAATAACATGTATACTTTTTAGTGGAGAAGAGAAGGCTGTGGGAAAGCATTTCCTTCAAGCCTGTGATGACTGCCCCTCATGGCCACTTATAGCACTTATACAACAGCACCATAGCAACCAGCAACAAGTCCCTGCCTGCTTCAGCAATCCCAGCAGAGCTAGGTTTTGCTTTAAGAAGAGGTTGAATACTGAAAATTTCATTGCCAGCTAAAACATTAAAAGACCAGTGCATACAAGATCTCCCATGATAAAGTTCTCCTTTACAGTTTGATATCTGTGGGAGAGGACTTCTGCTGTGTGGACATCACAGGAAACAGCCAGACATAGGAACTTGGGATTCATTTGGAAAGTGGTAATGAACACATTGTCTCAATCAAAGTTCCAGTCATGCTTACTAAGAGCAAGAGATAAACCAAAGGAAGAGAGGACACATTAAGCTTTCTTTGACATAACGTAGATTTTTAACAGCCATTGTGCTTTCTAATTGGTTCATCAGCAGATGCATAGGCCTATGAAAGGGCCATCCTGTAGAAGCAGGCAGCCAAGTCTGAGACAATGACCTTAGCAAACAGCTGAGCCCTGGGAGGATGATGGAGACCCTGTTTCAGCCAGGGGCATGTAGGCACATGACTGATTTCATATGGACACAGCAAGAAAATGAACATTTGAGCTATACTTGGCACCTGAAGGAATGACCTTCTCCTTTGGTTTAAGCCACTTGGAGTCCCTGGGTGGTGCTAACAGTTACAGCACTAGGCTATAGACCAAAAGGTTGGAAGTGTCTCAGAACAGCAGTCACCTTCTGAAAAGCAGTTCTACTCTGACACACATGTGGTCAACATGAATCAGAGTCAACTGGATAGCAACTGGTTTTACTGGTTTTGAGCCACTTAGAAGAGCCCACCAGTTCAAGACCATGTTCCTCACCCAGTCAGTTAAAACCTTAAGTTAAAACCTTCCAAAGACAAAGCAGGAAAACACCCACCATGTCCTGCAAACCACCACCTGCAGGTTCCTTGGAAATGGTAGTTCTTAGTTCATAGTGTCCTGTCATTGACTCTTTCATAGAAGACACTGTCTGCTGACTGCATTTTCTGTAGGTAATGGGCTGTATTTCTAAGGAAGTAGATTGCACAGGTACAGCACAACAGGCTGTACTTGACCATCCATTGTGTGAGCTCCAGCATGTGCAAATGGGATGGAAATGGTGTCCTTAGACAGGGGTGAGAGGCCACCATGTGTACAGTATATAGGAGATAAGCCCCTAGCAAAACAAGGAGCACCACCCAAGACAGAAGAAGTCTGAGAGCAACTGCCCAGATTGCATGGCCTCTCAGAACCCGAGAGGCTAGGTTCTCATTGTTCCATTCCAGCAAACAGCCTACTATCAATATGGGTAACATTTGTGACTCCCTCCTTCATTCTCTGCCCCACCAAACACCAACCCTGTTTCACCTCCTCATTGGCTGCTTCTTTTGCCTGCCACCTCATCACCATCTCTGCATAGCACTATCTGAGTTCAAGTTCTGAATTCCTCTCTTGCCTCAAGGCCATGAATCTTAGTTCCTCAAGCTCATTTCCACTAAAACAATCTCTGTGAAGTGCAAATCTCAACCTCACATTCCTTGGGAACTCTGTGTGGCCCTGCCTCCCTCTGGATGAACTGAGATCTTGGCCCTGCCTGCCCAGCAGCCTCTCTTGGGCTCTGCCCAGCACAGGCTCTCTGCTCCAGCCATACACACTGCCATCCAACTTGTACCACAAATCCCATGTTAGCCTCTCTGTCTGCCAGCCATCTTCTATTTCAGCTCAGGTTTTATACCATTTAGGAACATTCTCTGAGATAAGCTCCTAGGTCCTACAGTGGGGAGACCCTATAGTATTCTTTTCTGTGTGTTATCTGCACTTCTAAACATGTGCTCTTTATATCTTATTTCTGAGTCCTTGAGTGGCTGCTAAGTGAAAGATTAGCTGCACAAGTCCATCAGAGGCACCTCGGAATAAGACCTGGTGATCTACTTTGAAACACTCAGCCACTGAAAACTCCATGGAGCATAGTTCTGCTTTGACTTACATGAGGTCAGCATGAGTCAGAATCAATTCCACAGCAACTATTATAATCTTATTCCATGTTGCATCCCTGACATCTAATTCAACACTTGGGGGAATGACACTGGAGGAATGGAGGGAACAGAGTAAGGACAGGATACTTACTAAGGGACCCTGTGTCCTTGACTAAGAGCTGCTGTGTCTATCCAGGTGGCCTTCCACAACTCTCCAGTAGCCTCTCCTCTCCTCATTTGGGCTAAATGGTATATCTACATTATTCTTCAACATATACAAAATTGAGTGAGTGGTCTGTTTCCTAAAGGTACCACAGCTGACAGAGATAGGAAAGAATGAATTTTAGACATTTTTTTTGCACAGCTGGATCCTAGGAAGAACTTTCTTTAAAATAATGGTTTTAAAGATTTTTGTTTCTCTGATGTAAATAAATATGGAAATGACCAAACTGATGGTGGGTTTCCTTGAAGTATGTTAATGAAAGGTGAAAAAGTGAAATGAAAATATCCCAATTTTAAAAAACTTAGTTGATGGCATTACAAATTATCTTACTGTCCATTCCTTGTCAGTGAGGAGAGTTTGAATACACTCCACACAAAGTTCCATCTGAATAACTTCTCCCCACTCTGGGCAAGAAGGGTTGGGTGTCTATAGCCCTGCCCAGGCTGTCTCCATGGGCTAACAGGGACCTCCGACCCTTTGTTGTTGTGTAAGACTATGCAGCATGAGAAGAGGAAAGATCATAACACAGATCTGTAGAGAACTAGGGTTGAAGTAATGAAAACTGGCTTTCCAATGTGAAACATTTTGCATCAGATGATTAAGCAGCCAACCTCTTAATTTCTTAGGGGAAAGAGAAAATGTTCTGATGGCTATTGCTTCAAAGACTACATATGTTATAAAGTAAGTCAAACACAGCCAGGTAAGGACAATGGAAACTGCTGGGACACAAGTTTGCAGTATTAGTTGTCAGTCTCCATGAACAAGGTCCTTCTAGGCTCAAAAGGGGCTCCAAGGTTAGGGCACTGGGAGCAACTGATGTAGTGAGAACATTTTTATTTCCACAGTTTCTAACTTAAGGATTTCATTAGTGCTTTTGTCGTTGTTGTTAGGTGCCATCAACTTAATTCTGACACTCAGTGACAGTTTGTACAACAGACTGAAACACTACCTAGTCCTGTGCCACCCTCATAATCCTTGTGCCCACTGCTTCAGCCCACTGCTTCAGGCATTAGGTCAATACATTTTGTCGAGGGTCTTCCTCTTTGTTGCTGATACTCTATATTATCAAGCATGATATCCTTCACCAGGAACTTTGTTGTTGTTGTTATGTGCTGTCAAGTCAGATCCGACCCATAGCGACCCCTCCTTGGGTTTCTGAGGAACTATTACTGCAGAAGTAGATTGCCCAACCTTCCTTCCAAGGAGTGGCTGGTGGGTTTTAACTGCCAGCCTCCTGGTTAGCAGTCAAGTGCCTTAGGCACCACACTACCAGAGCTCACCAGGAACTGGTCTCTCTTAATAACATAGCCAAAGTACTAGAGGTGAAATCTAGCCATCTTGGTTTCTAAGGAGCATTTTGGATGCACTTCATCCAAAACAGATTTGTTTATTCTTCTTGTAATCAATGGTATATTTTATATTCTTAGCCAACAGTATAATTTAAATGTATAAATTCTCCTTTGGTCTACTGTGTGCATATGAGGTGACTGAAAATACAATGGCTTGGGTCAGGCTC